ATGTGTGTGTGTGTGTGTGTGTGTGTGTGTGTGTGTGCGTGTGTGTGTGCGTGTGTGTGCGTGTGTGTGTGCGTGTGTGACGAGATAGCCCTCCCCCTCTCCCCCTTCTTCTGTGTACGAGATGAGCTATCCCTCTCTCTCTCCCTTCCCCTTTCTGTGTATGGGATGAGTTATCCCTGTCCCTTTCCTTCCCCCTCTCTTTGTGCCTCTGTGTCTGAGATTGGCTATCCCTCTCCATCTCCCTCCCCATGTCTCCGCGTATGAGATGAGCTATGATCAGCTATACCTCTCGTTCTAATTTCCCCCCTCTCTATGGATGATACGAGTTGTCCCTCTCCCTCTCCCTCCACCTCTCTCCGTGTATGAGATGAAGAATCGATGTCTGTACGTTTCTCTCCGATTGTCTATACGTCTTTCCAAACACTGGCTCCAGTTGTATCGATACCACCAGTCAACCAAACATGTTGCCACCCAGAGCAAAGATTCGCAGACAAATGGCAATCCCGAAAATACGTGTTCTGTCCATGGCTCCATTGTGCCAGCAGCTAGTGGCAGAAGGATCAAGGCAGGGGTCTCCACAGTCTACCCTAACTTCCATAAGTAACACAAAGAAGCTGGGAGCATTACCGAGACGGGGATCCAATCCCCCTGCGAGACTGCGACAACCAGCAACAAAGGATTTGCAGCACCTCTCTGATTTCCAGACCTGGCCTAAAATGGGGAGGCACACCTCTCAACCCGATTTCAACTGCCCTTGGTGAAAATGACCGAGTGTCCAGGTTACTCTGAGTCATCTAAAGACAACTTGTCTAGCTTAATATCCTCGCCACTTGAATAGCCACTTGCATCCGCCGCAGAGTAATTGCTCCCTAGGGGGTATCTAGCACGGATAGCAGCGAAAGTAATTTGGCAGCTATGCCTATGAGTGCAACTGGAGTCGATCCTCCAAACATCTACAAATGTCCAAATTGGTGGCGTCTACTTCGATGCTACTACTGGCTAGTGAGCACCGCTGGTGGCCACTACTAACGGCTTTCTGGCTGGCATAAAGCAGCTCACGCCATCCTGTTGCTGTGTAATCGGTGGACCACCAAGCCTCCTTAGGAAAAAAAACTGGAACCCTTCCGGGGCCAGTCTTGAACATGGCCTAATTTCGCGGATTGGGGTGCCATTCGCGGCATGATTCGCCCAAAGGGTTTCACAGGGTTTGCTTGGTGTGTTGGTCTCGGGTGTTCTGATGTTTTTCCCCAGTCTGGCATATCACACGTTCATTCCATTTCCGGTAGTTGCTCATACGGTAGCGTCTTGGATTACATGTTACAAGGTTACGGGTTCAAGCTTCGTTCGGTCCTTGGGGGTGTCCTTGTCCAGCTGGCCACGTTCTCTCCTCCATACACACACATGATTCACAGAGTACACATAGCTTTCGGGATACACACATAGCTTGCAAATTATATATCGCCTACAGGTTACATACACAAGTTTCCACACATGATAACTGTCTACACAGATTCACAGAATATACACACAAACTGGGGAGCTAGTCACTGGTGGGGTCTAGTGCCTGCGGAAGGTTCAGGTAGGTTGGATAGGGTGCCATTGGGTGCGGTTCCTACTGACATTCGGATAGAACTGTCTGGTGGCTATATATATATGGGGCCTGTAGTTTATTGTCTGGGCCTGGCGTCTGAAGTTCCCGTTCGACAAGGTTCGTCCGATTTCGCTTCCACCAGGGCTGCACAATCTATCAGCCCTGGTGCCTATCACTGCCTGTCAAGTCGAAGACCTAGTTGCCCACCCGTTGGTAGGGCAATGGTCCTGAATGCGGGCCACACTGAGGCAGAATAGTGGGATAGGGGGTGCGCTAGGAGTATGGACGTGAGGATGGGTTGGGAGGTGGTCTCATCTTCTAGGACACCCGCGGCTCACAGTTCCAGGTGATCACTGTGCACACACTGACTGGCCTCTACAACACCCTGGACTTTCTATATTATAAAGAAGAAAAAAAAAAGAAAAAAAAAAAAGAGAACACTTCATGTCGGACCTCTCGTGCTTGGTGGGTGGGATAAAAAAGGAGTTCCTTTCGGGGTGTTGTAGAGGCCAGTTACTGGGCGTATGGTGATTGTCGGGAGCGGTCAGCCACCGCTGTCATGAGAAGACGAGGCCACGTCTTATCCCATCCTTCTGTCGATATTCCTAGCGTACCCCTTATTGCTACTTTCCTACTTCAGTGTGATTGGCACTCAGGACCATTAACCTACCAGTATAGAGGGCAACTTGGACCGAACAGCAGTCACAGGCACCGGGGCTAGCCATGACCCAGCCCTGGTGGAAGCGGAATTGAATGAGCCTTGGCTTATGGGAACTTCAGATGCCAGGCTCAAGCAATTTCCCACTAACCTAAGTACTTGTGACGCCCAACCTCACGCCCGGCGGGACTTCCTGATCGGAGTGGGAGTGGGCCTGGAAGTGCGAAAAGGGGTGTGCCAAGTATTTTTGGAAAGTGGGGGGGGAGTCCCAAGTCGGAACTGAGATCTCCTGTGGCAAGTTTCAGGGATGCAAAGGTTAGGAGGATAGGTGTGGATCGGGCCTTGTGCTTCAGGAGGCGGAGCTACCGTCTCCGTTGGGTCCGTCGCCTGGGTTGGTCTCGTATCTGGTGGACGGTCGGGACGCTATGGCTATCTCGCTGGCTGGCTGGTCACTTGTCAACGCCAAATGTTGCAGGTCTCGGAGTCGGATCCGGCCGGTCTCAGCCGAAGGCTGTGTGCCTGTCGTTCTTTCTCCGAGCGAGTTTGCCGGATAAAGCCGGAGGCTCGATACTCGCGGTCCTGCAGGCACTCTGAGCATGGGGGTTGGGGCCAGTAGGGGGAGATGGCGAACCAGGGCACGATGGTCAGGGAGTAATAGCGTAGGGTCCCTACGATAATGATCCCCAGTTTCGTGGCGACGTGACACGTGTGTGGACTAAAGTAGCTGGGGCAATAGGGAATACGGCCCAAGGCCTGATCGAGGTCCCACTCACAGATTCGTTTGTTCCCGGTTAAGTAAGGGAAGTTCGGCGGTTCCACCC